ACCCTAAACCCTAAACCCTAAACCCTAAACCCTAAACCCTAAACCCTTTAGGCTTAGGGGTGTGGGGATTTAGGGTCTGGGGCTCTGGTCTCGGGACTAGGGGAGATAAGGTCCAGGGTAAGGTCAGGGTGTGTCGGAGTTTGCAGGCTTCCCCTGGGACTCCAAATAGCCCAATGTAGGTACTATTTACAGACTTTAGACCCCAAAGTAGGTACTATTTGATCACTTGGAGCCCTAGGGTTCTCACCATGCATCTAAGCTTCTGCCGCCCGTTCCCCGAAGAGCGTCTTGCTCTTCGAGCTTTGAAAAAGCTGAGTTTCGCGAGCCCTAAGACATGGATCCTTGTTGGAGGATCCATTTCCCCTAAGCCCTAAACCCTAAACCGATACCGCGAACTTCAAAGAAGCTCAGGTTTCGAAGTTGAGGCTCAGCGCTCGGGGGTTTGGGTTTAGGGTTTAGGGTTTAGGGAAAGTCATCGTCTTCGGTGAGGAGCATTAGGGCCCCATGGGACCTTGCACTTTCGACTTCTGCAGAGAGGGCCGAAGGTCTACGCTTTTTTGGGGCATGCTTCTCCGCAAGTACCTTGGCTTGCAAATGAAGGCGAAGGGGATCTCGGGTCTCCCTGCATATCCCGGAAAGCTTAGAGCTCGGAAGGGCGGAACTCCAGGGACCCCATAAAGAAGCCACTTGACGTTCCCAAGGGCGCCCTTGAATCCGTCGTCGTCGTCGTACAGGAGCAGGAGCAGGAGCAGGAGCAGGAGCAGGAGTAGCAGTGGCAGCGACAAAAGTAGTGGCAGCAGCAGTGGCATTGCTGCAGTGGTAGTGCTGATGTTGATGGTGGTAGTGGGCAGTGCAGTTGTACTAACAGTCGTCGTCGCAATAGCTAGTAACTAGTAGAAGAAGTTGCGGCAAGAATGGCAAGGGTACCATAGTCAGCACGACTGCAGCACCGTAGCCAAACTTGATACAGTACACGTGATACGAGTAATGACCAGCTCACAGCAAAGGGCACTCCATTTTTGCAGTTGTTTATAAGGCTCCCGCTTTGTGGGCTGCGTGGAGATCTGCTAACTCCCGGCTAGCCGCTTCTGCCGTGGCTGCGTGATGCCTGCGGCCTCCGGTCATGTAAGGTTCAGGGCTTCAAATAATATAATATAATATAATATA